CCCTCAGCTCCTCCTTGGCTGTTTTCCAGTTTGTTTTGGTGGATTTTACCTCTCCTTTTACAGATTGCTCAAGTTACATTGGTCCCCCAGCCACCAGCCTTTTTATATCAGTTTTTCCACAGATGTAAGACATTAATTTTTTCTTTCAACTCAACACTGACTCACTCAGTATAAATGTGAAATTAAGGGTTTTATTTATTTGCAGCCAATAGTTAATGGATTTACTCTGAGAGAGAGGTTGGAGGGGGTGGTCAGAAGCAGCGGTGAGAGAAACACTAGGAAGTGAGTCCCAGAAGTACAGCTCACACAGCAAAGACTCACACTGAAAGAATGAACCAGACGGCTGGATTTTCCCTTTGATTCATCTGTCCCTTCTCTTTTGCCTGATACTCCAGTGCTCAGCTTCCCTTTTTAGACACCCTTGGTCAGTAAGGAAGGTGTTTTGTTTACTGTGAAAAATCTCCCAATCAATTCAACTCCTGTTTGTAAAATTAATGAAAAGCTGACCTGATTGTCTATTGAGACTGGTGTGATCTAAGTGAGGAGAACAGGGATTCAGAAGGGTATTAACCACCAATGGTCTGAGTCTGTGTACTCTCTCCCCTCACTACTAAATGTGCCATGCTCCAGCTTTGTCTTCCTTCAAGGCCAGGTTAAAGCCTTTGTTTCTCTGTTAGTGTTGTTGCTGAATTTTGTGTGGGTGGGCTAGGTATTATACCTAAGAGTGGATGCAGGGCTTACAAGGGGCTCTTACTCTGCTCCTGCCTTGCAACTATTGTGACATACTGACTCACTTTGTTTTCAGTACAGTCTAAATTGCCCAGAGGCAGTTACACGCTAAGAAATTAAACATTATAAAAAGCCTTCAGTTTTGTTTTACGTTATAAACATCCAATGGCTAGATGTTGAAGCTAGACAGATTCAGATTGGAAATAAGGCATATTTTTGTTAACAGTGAGAGTATTTGACCACTGGAATGATGGACCAAGAATCATGGTGACAATTTTTACATCAAGATTGGATATTTTTTTCTAAAAGATATGCTGCTCTAGGAATTATTTGAGCAAAATTCTATAGTCTGTGTTATACAGGAGGTTAGACTAGATGATCATAATGGTCTCTTATGCCCTGGGAATCTATGAATTTTACAAAGTTCTAAAAGTCAGGGTGAACAGATTAATTTGCACTTATTAAAATAAGCCTGAGAGTCAGGGTGTTACCTTAACGAGGGTAATCATAATAGGCTATGAAGTAGCAGAAAGTATGTAATGTACTGCCTAATGTCCTTGTGACCAACTTCCCTCTACTGCAGGGGTGGCCAACCTGTGGCTCTGGAGCCACATGCGGCTCCTTGTGTAGGCACCGACTCCGGGGCTGGACCTACAGGCGCCAACTTTCCAATGTGCCGGGAGGGGGGGGGCTCACTGCTCAACCCCTGACTCTGCCACAGGCCCTGCCCCCACTCCATCCCTTCCCGCCCCCTCCCCTGAGCCTGCTGTGCCCTCGCTCCTCCACCTCCGAGCCTTCTGCATGCCACGAAACAGCTGATTGGGAGGTGCGGGGAGGGAGGGGGAGGTGCTGTTCAGCGGGGCTGCCGGGCAGGAGGCGCTGGGAGTGGGGTGCGAATGGGGGGCAGCTGACGTATTACTGCGGCTCTTCGGCAATGTACATTGGTAAATTCTGGCTCCTTCTCCTCTCAGGTTGGCCACCCCTGCTCTACCAGATATGTAATATCAGAACTGCCTTCCAGTGGCCCAGAAAAGATATACACCATAATACTATGATTGTCAGTGGAGATTCTTCTTTAGTTCAAGTCACAGCGGGTATCTACTTTAGGAGCAGGAGGCCTGGAATTATCTCACTGCTGATGCCTATGAAATCTATGCATGTGGAGTAGAGCTTGGTGAAAGTTTTCATCCAAAGCTTTTTCTTCATCCAAAGAGTAAATAAATAAATAAATAAAAAGTCCAAATCTAAATTTGTTTTGTTTTTTTGATTTACCAAACATTTTGAAAAAATTTCATTTCAGATTGACCCAAAACAATTTTCTTTTTTTGGTATGGCCAGGGAATCAATCAGTTATTCACAGAGCTTTAATCTAGGGTGGGTGGATCTCTGATGAACCTGAAGTCTGATTGACTAAGGGAACTAGTATAAGTACTTGTGACTATAAAAGTGCACCTGAAGTCTCCTCTGCATGGACAATACTGGAGAGGAGGTCGGACACAGAATCAGAGTTGTTTCTTTTCACCCTGATGAAGAAGTGCTAACCATTGTTAATAGTGAAAGGGTGTGATGACCTTTCTTCTCAACAACAATGTAACAAATCACTTCCATTTTAGGCTGCTGAAATCTATTGTTTATAGCATAAGTCCACTGCTTGGCAGGGAAGGAAAGCCAAGAAAGGACAACACCAAGAAGGCTGAGCTCTTTAATGCCTATTTTGCATCAGTCTTTGCTAATTGGGACCAGATGCTTAACACAATTAATATTAAAGTGGAAGGAACACCAGCTACAATAGGGAAAGGACAGGTTAAAGAATATTTTAACAAGGTAGATGTAGGCAAATCAGCAGGGCCTGATGACATTCACTCTTAGGTATTTAAGAAACTAGCTGAAGCAATCTCAAAACCATTAGTGATTATCTTTGAGAACTCCTGGAGGATGGGTGAGGTCCCAGATGACTGGAGAAGAGCAAACATAGTACTGACCTTTAAAGAGGGGAACAAAGAGGACCTAGGAATTATAAACCAGTCAGCCTAACTTTAATTCTTGGAAAGATACTGGAACAAATTATTAAATTATCAATTTGTAAGCTCTAGAGAATAAAAGGATTATAAGTAATAGCTAGCATGGATTTGTCAAGAACAAATCATGCCAAACCAACTTAATTTCTTTCTTTGAAAGAGTTATTGGATAGGAGGGAAGCAGTAGTGACGGATTTTAGTAAGGCTTTTGAGACAGCCCCGCATGACGTTCTCATGAGCAAATGGGGTCTAGATAAAATTACTATAAAATAGGTGCCCAACTGGTTGAAAACCCACACTCGGAGAGTAGTTATCAATGGTTTGCTGTCAAATGGAGAGGACATATTTAGTGGAGTCCTACAGGGGATTGTCCTGGATCCAGTACAAGGCAATATTTTCATTAAATGACTTGGATAATATAGTGGAGAATAGGCTTATAAAATTTGTGGATGACACCAAGCTGGGAGAGATTGCAAGCACTTTGGAGGACAGGATTAGAATTAAAGATGACTTTGAAGAATTGAACTTAAATCATCAAGATTAAATTCAGGAAAGACATACAAAGTACTATACTTAGGAAGGAAAAAAATCAAATGAACAACTGCAAAACAGAGAAATAACTGACTAGGCTGTAATACCACTGAAAAAGATCAAGGAGTTGTAGTGGATCACAAATTGAGTGTGAGCCAACAATGTGATGCAGCTGCAAAAAAGGCTAATATTCTGGGGTGTATTAACCAGAGCGTTGTATGTAAACCCAGGGGGTAATGTCCTGCTCTACTTGGCACTGGTGAGGCCTCAGCTGGTGTAACATGTCCTTTAAGGAAGATGTGGACAAACTGGAAAAAGAGTCTAAAGAAGAGCAACAGAAATGATGGTATGTCCTATGAAGAAAGCTAAAAAAAACCTGGGCATGTTTAATCTTGAAAAAATGAAGACTGAAAGGCAACCTAATAAATATGTTATGGTCTGATATAAAGGAGACAGTCACTGATTGATCTTCATGGCCACTGAAGGTAGGACAAGAAGTAATGGAATTAATCTGCAGCAAGGGAGATTTAGGTTAAATAAAATGTTTTTCCCAATAGCGCTAAGATTAGTTAAAGACTGGAATAGGTTCCTAAGCGAGGTTGTGGCATTCCAGTCACTGGAGGTTTTTAAGGGGGAGGTTTAAGTTGGATATTAGGAAAAACTTTTCCACTAGGAGGGTTGTGAAGCACTGGAATGCGTTACCTAGGGAGGTGGTAGAATCTCCTTCCTTTGAGGTTTTTAAGGTCAGGTTTGACAAAGCCCTGGCTGGGATGATTTAGTTGGGGACTGGTCCTGCTTTGAGCAGGGGGTTGGACTAGATGACCTCCTGAGGTCCCTTCCAACCCTGATATTCTATGATTCTAAGAACAGGTTAGATAAACACCTGGCAGGGATGGTCTAGGTTTACTTGGTCATTCCTCAGTTCAGAGGGCTGGACTAGATGACCTCTCAAGGTCCCTTCCAGCCCTAATTTCTAAGATTTTATGATTAGGGCCTTAGTGTCTGTATCTGCAATGGGAAAATGACCATTTAGCACAGCAAATGAGATGACCTAGCTATCTTGCAGTACATCATAAATTTTCTTGTAGCTAAAAACCATACATAAGGGCAAAACCCAGTTACAGTCTGTGAATAAAAGCGTAGTTTGTATTCATGAAATCTATACATTAGTTAAAACGCTAATTACATTTAAAACATATATAAATTAATAGACATCTCATCCCTTCATTAATGACCAATAACCCAAGGCCTCCTCCTTTAAGGAGTACAAACTCTGGCATAAAGCTGAAGAAATCCAAATAGAAATGGCAAGTTTTGTGGTAAAGATATGAAATGTAGGTTCTTTATTTCTCCTGCCATAAAAATATGTTCAGGGAGCCTTCAAAGATTATATATTTTTCACAGATAATATACTTTCATGGTTTAGAGAGCTCAGTTTACATACATTTTTATATGACTCATAAAACTACTCTCTGTATCACACTGTGAAAACATCTGTTTTTGGAAAAATCACTAACAATTCCTGTAATGATTTGCAGCCTTCTGATCTCAGCAGGGCCACCTCAGACAACTCCTGAGCCCAAAGGACATTTGAAAATTCTGGGCATACTTACACTATCCAGCTGTCTGACAGTCTTGACTCCCAGGCTCTAGTTTTGATTATCACAGAGTCACTGTTTGACCGTCACCCTGGGCAAATCACAGAGGCCAACACTTTCAAACTTGAGATCAACATCTTTATTTAATTAGCTAAAAGAGCGGCCTGATGTGCAGAAGTGTTGAACAGTCACAGATCCCAGAACCATACAATCAGTGTAATGAGATCTATGAGCCCCACAGGTATGTGGTGTGAGGCTTTTAGACCCTTGGATGAAAGGCAGCCTACCAATGCAAATTACTATTTTTACATGCAAATGTTTATCTTCTCCTGTCCCCTCCCTGTTTTCACACTTCTGTCCCATCATCTCCCCCCCCTGCCCCCGCCTCCCTGGCAAATAGCAAAAGATGTTAATAAGAAAATGTAGTGGCTCTGTGACTGACAGCAGGAGCCACAGAGTGGGGCAGACTGCAAGAATCTGAGGTTTCACACATGTTTGACGTTTCCACTCATCAGAGATGAAGAGAGTTATCACAAACATTTCAGCAATACTGTATGGATAAATTGCCCTGCTCCCTCTGCCCCCTCAAAGCTAATCTGAGTAGTGGGAATCCAACTTAGTTCCTCCTGAATGTCCCTATTGACCACCCTGCTGAGATATCTCTACATTGTTATCCATAGGCATAGGACTTTATTGGCCTTCCAGGAGCTCATTTCTCCCACAAGCCAGTAAGTGACTCTGGGACTGTTTTTAAAGCAGAAGTCATGATTCTTAACTGTCAGATCTAGCATCACAGCCCCTACCATGCCTCTTCTGTACTTCTATTAAAGCTGCAGTATTCATAGATGGGTGGCAAACACCATCAGCCTCTGAGCTGACTTCCTCTCCTGCTTGGTCCATACATGAAAGCAGAGTGGGGACAAAAATCTTCCCACACCTCATGAAAGCTTCTACTGGTCCCACACATAGGACTGGGAGCTCCCTAACACTTCAAAGTTGGGACCCAATGGCTCCATGCATGACAGAAGGTTTGCTGGGTTCACCACTCTCCCAAGCTTTCTGAAGCACATGCTTTCCCAGCAACTGCTGTCAAATAAGGGACAATACAAGGAAACATTCAGTTTTTGAAAAAAACACACAAAACAGGATTGATGTGTAGCAAAGGCCCTACTTTTGGCTGCTTACATAGGAACAGAATACACATATAATGTCGAACCATGATATTAGCAGTAACATAGGCCTTCTGGGAATATAGTTACCTTCCAAAGAAGAAAAAGGGTTGAAATTTAACAAATGAGAAGTTTTTCATCTTTTTTTTTTTTTTTTTTTTAAGAAACAGACTCCAGGAAACACTGACTTTTGTTAACATTTCCTTTGTCAAAACCCAGGTTTTGGTCCATGAAAAAAATCCAACAATGATTTTGAATAAAAAAGCCATTGAAAATAGGTCTGTTTCAAACTCCGCAAAATTGAAAGTACTGCAAAAAAATTAAAATTTGAAGCTTTTTTTTTAAATCAGCTCTCATTATTGCTAACATACTCTGGACCAAGTTGCCCTGTTAAACTTTTATTGCATCCAGTTCTCATGCTTCTCTATGCGTAGTGTGTGTCATTGTGCATTGTAGAACTGATCAATGAAATTGTTTTTAATTGTTCACTTTATTAATATAACTTCATAAGTAAAGTATTATGAATGGAACTACATTCATTCATAAAACCAGGTACCCCAACAACTGGCTAATTGAGTTTCACTTTCAATCCAGTTGCTGCTTAAATCACTGAAACTTGCACTGCTTCAACATTGTAACTTCTGTTCACTGTTTGCCATTCCTTACACTTATCCATGTTGTAACCCAAACTCCATTTTTACTTGTCCCAAACTCCATTTTAAAATGCTCACTTCATTTTTGCAAAACCCTGCTGTAATCCGATTAGTATAGTTTAGATGTGTGAACGAGGTATGTATGGATGATAGAATCAACCTCCAGCCCCAGACTGTCCTGATGAAATAAAGTGTAAACACCAAGGGCTGAAGATCCAGACAACAGCCCTGACAAAGCAAGCAGAGTCCACCCTCAAAAGAAAAGAGCAAAAGTACAACTGAAGAAACATCAAAGCCAGGTCCCAGGCTGAAAGTCATGTCTACAACTGACGGGTGATCAATCACACCGAACCCAGAGGCAGCCTGACACAGCAAGACCTACAGCCTCTGGATTCAAACTGAAGCCTACAAAAAGGATCGGTGAGATGGAAGACTTTGGAGGGTAACATTCTGCTGCCAACATGGAAGGGCATCGGTGCATGCCCAACAGAGACCCAGCCCTTCCTTGCGTCCGGCTTTCCTGGCCAGTTAGCCACCACAAGCTACAAACCCAAGCCACGAACTGAAGCTACATTCAGGACTGGTAACTATCTAGCAGCTACAGAACATTTGATATATATATATATATATATATATATATGTGTGTGTGTGTGTGTGTGTATGTATACATAGATATTAGATATTAGTTATTGGTCATAAATCAAATTGTATTATTATAATAAATGTGACATCTTGTCTTGTCCCCTGAAACGCTCCTTTGCAGCTGGGTAATGCTAGCAGATTTGTAGGATCACCACCAGTTTTCTCACCACCTAGATTAGCCTGGGAGAGGGGATAAAAGAAGCACCTGACCAGACTGGTTGGAACAGATCCCCAGGAGGGCCAACATCTAGTAGTGATAGCACTACTAGATCAGAATAATCTCTTGCAGCATCTAACTTCTTCCAGGAAGGCAGAACCAAGTACAGCACTTGATAGCAAGATTGCCGTAATTCATCCACAAGCTGTTGAACTAGATTCAGGAGCTACTGGGAGAAATTTGTGGCTTGTATTGTGCAGAAGGTCAGACCAGCCAATTATAATGGTCCTTTACTGGCCTTAATCTGTGAATTCGTGAACACAGAACTCCTCTCTACCAAGTGAAGCAAGAGATTTAGACTTAATCTATGGTGGCTTTATGGGGCGAGAATAAAGAAAACTTGTGTTTAAGCCCTAGAAAGAAATGTATTAAAGCCTTATTATTTTGCTCGACTAGGTGATGTTTTTAAAAAGTAAAATGTGAAGAAATACCATCCCAGCAGTCAGAGTTTAAGACTTTGCAAGTAGCTGTAGTGTTAACATAGCTTTGCTTTTTTGTGTTACTCTTCTGTTATAAATGTTTGGTTCAACTAACTAAATTCCTCTAAAGCAATTACTAGAATGACAAGAGGTTTCAGAGTAGCAGCCATGTTACTCTGTATTCGCAAAAAGAAAAGGAGTACTTGTGGCACCTTAGAGACTAACAAATTTATTTGAGCATGAGCTTTCGTGAGCTACAGCTCCGATGAAGTGAGCTATAGCTCACGAAAACTTATGCTCAAATAAATTTGTTAGTCTCTAAGGTGCCACAAGTACTCCTAGAATGACAACATTCACTCATTAAAGCATATTAAGATCTGTAGTGCCTATTTTGGCAGCTGGTAAATTTTGGCTCTTCAGAAGTTGATGCTGGACTTACTCACGACGGGCACCAGAATGCATTGCTTAGATGGGGCAAGCAGGATCATTTTCATCTGGCTTTATCTACAGAGAAACAAGGAAGACAATATGATACAATCTTTCAAAAGGTTTCAGAGTAACAGCCGTGTTAGTCTGTATTCGCAAAAAGAAAAGGAGTACTTGTGGCACCTTAGAGACTAACCAATTTATTTGAGCATGAGCTTTCGTGAGCTACAGCTCACTTCATCGGATGCATACTGTGGAAACTGCAGCAGACTTTATATACACACAGAGAACATGAAACAATACCTCCTCCCACCCCACTGTCCTGCTGGTAATAGCTTATCTAAAGTGATCATCAAGTTGGGCCATTTCCAGCACAAATCCAGGTTTTCTCACCCTCCACCCCCCCACACACAAACTCACTCTCCTGCTGGTAATAGCCCATCCAAAGTGACAACTCTCTACACAATGTGCATGATAATCAAGTTGGGCCATTTCCTGCACAAATCCAGGTTCTCTCACCCCCTCACCCCCCTCCAAAAACACACACACACAAACTCACTCTCCTGCTGTTAATAGCTCATCCAAAGTGACCACTCTCCCTACAATGTGCATGGTAATCAAGGTGGGCCATGCCCAGCTCAAATCCAGGCTCTCTCACCCCCCCCTTTTTTTTTCTACTTTGCCTTTTGTCTCCGGAAGTGGTAACAACAGAGGGAGAGCACTAAGAACTGGAAAGAAGGATTACAGCTCCCTTGCTCTGTTGTAGCTTTAGCCTTTGTTACTCTCTGTTACAAGAGCTCTCTCCCGTATGACAGAGGAAAACAAATAACATGCTGTTCATTGTTACTGCAACTGATGCTCTGGATGAAGCTTCACACTGCTGGAGACATTCACAGAACCATAGAAATTAAAGATAGAAAAGATAAGTCCATAATCCTGCCATTGCAGGTTTGTTCCCTGCAGTATATTTATTCATTAGTGCCTTGTATAGCTGCGTTTTACATTATGCAAGTAATGGAGCTTCTTCCCTGTCTCTTGGGATACTGTTCCACTGGCTTGCAGACCTCACTATTAGCAAATTTCTCCCCCAATGATCAGCCTAAGTTTTCCTTTGCTTACTTTTCATCTGATGACTCCTACGTGCTTGGCCCATCTTCAATTATTCCCCTGCCATGAGGCATACACCCTTCACATACTTGTTGTTTGCGGTCATTTTGCCCCCTCGTTACTGTTTAGTGAAACTATAACTTTTTAAAAATTTCTTTCTGAGTCAATCCCTTCCGCTTCTTAAACACTTAATGGCATTTTTCTGTAGGAAAGAAAAGATGTGACCAATACCCTTCTAGTGGAGCCCATCTTCCTTGAGGCAAAGGTGCTGAAAATGTCACCACCAAAAAATTGACATTTACCAACAGTAGCCACAAGCAGTATCTGAAATAAACCTGCATTTCTCTGCTTAGAATAGGGAATAACAAAAAGAACTGTAACTTAGATACTAAGGTGTGGTAACTTGGTTAATGCAACTCACTTTACTAATGCACATTGTAGAAGTATATCTACTTAGCATGCTTACTAAAGAGTATAAAATGTGTATCATCATAATTAATACTTGGCAATTACACAGTGTCTTCACTCACCAAAGCATTTTATATACAAACACACTCATTAGGTAGGTAGGGCCTCCTTATGCCTTTTGAATATATGGGGAAACTGAGACATAGACAAGTTAAATGACTTGCACTAAGTCGCACAGTGAGAAAGGAGCAGAACTGGGGATAGAGAAGATTCCTGCTCTCTCACGGGGGACTGCACTGCCTTCTTATCATATAGTCAGTCAGCTAATATTAACTCCTTTCTTCTCTCTTGTACCTTCTGAGTCAACTAAAATGTCTCTGACATGGAGCTCATCTGTCTCCTTCTGACAGAGGTTTGTGTGCTTGCCAGAAACATTATACCCCTTGGTGAGTGTATTGATTACGAAACAGGGGGGCTGTAACATTCTTTTTTTTTTTAAAGCTCGTTTTACAAAAAACATCAGATTATTTCCAATTTTTCGGTAAAATTTTGAGTTGGATTTTGAGCCATTCTGTGTTTAGATTTTGTTACTGCTCCTGTTGCTGTCTCAGACCTTTTCTACACTACTGGGGTAAGTCAACCCCAGTTATGCTACTCCAGCTACGTTATTCATGTCGCTGGAGTTGACGTAGCTTAAGTCAACTTACTGCAGTGTCTACGCGGCGCTGCGTCAATGGGAGACACTCTCCCGTTGACTTATGTTCCTAATCTCGTTCAGAAAGGTGCAGAAAGGAAAGTAGAAAAGAGTTACCTGGAAGAGCCACGCTTTAGGGATATGTCTATTTTCCGCCCCTGCTGGACTGGACTGAGCCCACTTCTCCATATCGTGCTCGCTCAACAGGGACAGGCTGGCAAACCTACAAGAGAACAGTTCAGTTCTATTTGTTTCCCTCTGCATTTGAAAATTGCACGTAACTGAAAATGAAGCCCGTTATTTCCTAGCTGCCCATTTCATGCCTCACAACATTTTCATCAGCTCTCTTGAAAATCCCAACCTACAGTATTTCAAAGTGCCCAAGAGAGTTTGACACTCAAATCCTATCAACCTTTAACTGGGGTTGGTTGGCTAACTCCCTTAAGTGCTGTTGAAGCCATTTTTAGGAACAGCTGGCCTTCTCCCATCTCATTTTACTCTTACTCCCCTTCCACTCCCAGCCTGTAGTCCAAACAGGGCCTAGAGCGTTGGGGGATCCCTCAGTAACTAGTCAATGTTGCTCTGACTGCAGGCAAGACAAATGGGTGCCCAATAGTGATGCAAGATGTCCCCTCCCCTGCAGATCTGCACACCACCCCTCCAGCATTTCTAGCTCTTGTCGGAAAGAGATCAAGTTTGATTGAAGTCACTTGTAAAGACATTTTCTCTTCATGTTTTGTTTAGGGAAAATTCTCCCTAGTTCTTTCTGATGGGAAATGTAAACTGGCACAGTTACTGTAGTCTCAGAAATCCTGTGACTGCCAAGACTGTCCTTAGCTCAATTGTGAATTTGCCTCTGAAAAGATACATACAGTCCAGTTTTGTTCTTTTGTTTTTCAAGTGCCACAACTTATCTCAATTCCACATGTGGGTTGTTGCTTTAGCCATAATACCAGAATCTGGATGTAATGGTGTTCTGATACCAAGGCTCAGCCCTGCTGCGGAGACCTGCTAAATGAGCCTCTCATTATGTATTAAATAAATCATGGACCTTTCCCAGACGTGCAGATGAACATCTTGTATATTTGCTGGTGTAATATGGCTCCAGAAATGGTTTCAGTAGTAAACTAGCATTAGCATTAAATGTCATTTATTTTGCATTAGAAACCCACAGAGTCAAAGTTAAACAATGAAGACAGAGTACTAGTAATAAAGTGCCCTGACTTGCAAAGTGCTGAATGTTTCCAACTTCCAATGAAATCAGTGGAATTCAGGGCACACAGCACCTTGCAGGTGATGCTCAGCACCTCACAGGATTGGGTCAAAGGTGACAATTGTTAAGCAGAGCTCTGGAAAAAGCTTGACTACTTTAGGAATGTTTGAGAAAGTACACTATAGATATGTTATGTAAAGCAGAGGTTCCCAAACACAAAATTCTTATTAACATTGAAAGGGGAACATAATATATATAAGAACCTGGGGAGATGTTTAAATGAAGAACCTGATTTCAAGGCAAATATCAGGCAAAGAATCAAGAATAATTTGGGTCAGATCCTCATTTGGTGTACATCAGGATAGCTCCATTTTACCAATTTATACCAATCTATACAAGATCTGTATAGGATCCAGCCCTTCTTTTTCCTTTGTGAAGCTAAATAAACAGTAATCTCCTTTTAATTCTCAGCAAAAAGAATATATTTTTTAGGAGGTTGGCAGAGAGAAAAAAGCATTTTGTAACCCTATTTGTATTATGTATGTCAATTAGCAGGCAGGCTACCAATTCCTACAGGAAATGCGTTTACAGAGCAGAAGTCAGTTGGAAGAGAGAGCAAGACCCACTTAACCTCTGGCACATATATTTCATCCGGCCAGAAGAGGGAAGTATTGGAGCAAACAATATACCCAATTAATTGGTTTGGAAACATTTCAAACTTGCAAAAAGCTCACATGTATGTTGATCTGTTTCAGGGCTAAGAAAGTGTTATGAATATTACTGATTCAGGGCAGGATTTTCAAAAGCACATAAGTGCTTTAGAAGCACAAGTCACTTAGGTGTTTTTGAAATCCCACCCCCCGAGGCAGCAAGGCTAAAGCAGCAAAAATATGTCTCATGACCAGTAGTACATGGTGAACAGGCATAAGATAGTCAATCTAAATGTTTCACAGATTTCCTCCTTTAGTAATTTAGACACTGAGAACTTGATCATGGAAAATGCTGAGCATCAGTTTGATCCAGCAAAGCATTAAGCACATGCTTAACTTTAAGCATATGTGTAATCCCACTACTGGGACTGTGCATTGCTGGATCATAGAATCATAAATATGTAGAACTGCAAGGGAGCTCAGTAGGTCATCTAGTCCAGTCCCTTGCACCGAGGCAGGACTAAGGATTATCTAGACCATCCCTGGCAAGCATGTGTCTAACCTGTTCTTAAAAACCTCCAATGACTGAGAGTCCACAATGTCCCTGGATAATTTGTCCCATTGCTTAATCTGGTTTTCCAAAGTGCTTGCAACTCCTCCCAGCTTGGTATTGTCTGCAAACTTTATGAGTGTACTTCCTATGCCATTATCCAAATAATTTATGAAGATATTGAATAGACCCAGACCCAGGACAGATCCCTGAGAGCCCCCCCCCTTGATACGCCCTTCCTGCTTGATTGTAAACCATTGATAACTGCTCTAAGTAAACTTTTCCAACCAGATGTGCACTCACCTTACAGTAAATTTATCTAGACTATATTTCCTTAAATTGTTTATGAGAAGGTCATGTGAGACAGAATCAAAAGCCTTACTAAAGTTGAGATATATCACATTTATTGCTTTCCCCTTATCCACAAGGTTGATACTCTGTCAAAGAAGGATTTTAAGTTGGTTTGACATGATTTGTTCTTGATAAATACATGTTGAATGTTTCTTATTTTCTTCTACATGCCTACAAATCGATTGTTTGCTCCATTATCTTTTCAGATACCGAAGTTAAAATGACTGGCTTATAATTCCCTGGGTTGTCCTTATTCCCCCTTTTATAGATAGGTGCTATATTTGCCCCTTTCCAGTCCTCTGGGAGCTCTCCTGTCCTCCATAAATTCTCAAAGATAATCACTAATGACTCAGAGATCTCTTCAGCCAGTTCCTTAAGCATTCTAGGACAGTGGTTCTCAAACTAGGGCCGCTGCTTGTTCAGGGAAAGCCCATGGCAGGCCGGTTTGTTTACCTGCCGCGTCCACAGGTTCGGCCGATCGCGGCCCCCACTGGCTGCGGTTCACCGCTCCAGGCCAATGGGGGCTGCAGGAAGCAGCGTGGGCCGAGGGATGTGCTGGCCGCCCTTCCTGCAACTGCGGTGAACTGCGGCCAGTGGGAGCTGCAATCAGCCGAACCTGCGGACACGGCACGGCAGGTAAACAAACCGGCCCGGCCCACCAGGGGCTTTCCCTGAACAAGTGGTGGCCCTAGTTTGAGAACCAGTGTTCTAGGAGGTATTTTATCAGGCCCTGCCAACCTGAAGACATCTCACTTGTTTAAGTTATTCTTAACTTGTTCTTTACCTATTTGAGCCTCAAATCCTACAGTCTTCAGCACCTTGCAGGATTGAGCCCCAAGTATCTAACTATGAAAGAGCTAGAAAATTGCTGATCTTTATTCACAGTTTAGGATCTCATTCTGTGAGGTGCTGAACATCTATAACTTCTGTTAAGTCAATGGCGATTACTGCTGCTCAGAGCTTATCATGATTAGACCAGTGTGACCACTTGTACAATGAATGAGACCAAGATTTCAAAGGCACATGATCCCAACCTCCAACTTACACAGATATACCTGAGAACTGGAGTTAGCCCCAGGTGTTTTTGTGTGAAAAGAGGAAGAGCAACCTATAGCTTCACCTCTAACCTACAGCTTCACTTTCTCCAGTCTGGACACATTCCGATCACAAAGGCAAGTGAAATAATCACAGAAACCCAGACCTCCTCCCCCCACAACCCAAAAAAGCTAATTTTCCTCATATTGCACAAAGATTGCAAGTGCTACAGCAATGTATTGTTTTAATTAACCTCATCCTGCTGCTTGATTCTTTTGTAGACATATTCAGGGAATGGTTTACGTGTAATGTATTTGCCGTCTCCTGCTGTGACATTGAAAACGCCACCTTCGTACACCACTTTGCCTCTTGAAATGGTCACAACTGGGAGCCCATGGCAGATCATTCCTTCAAATATATTAAAATTGTTGGCATGGTGATGTGTCTTTGCAGATATAGTCCTGTTTTCAAAACAAACAGAAACCCAAACAAATTATTATTATCCTTACATTCGACTCCAACATAAAGCTCCGAGAAATGGAGGGGGGAGAGAATTTAGCTGTATTATTAAACTGCAGCTTTGCACTATAGATCATGGAAGCAGCTGTAAAAATAGAATACAGCATTAACATTTCATTGAAAAGTAATTGCATTTCAAAAGAATAAAAAGGGATTTCAAATGCAAGAGACTTTGCAGCCTTAAATGCAGAATTTTCCACTGCAAAGAGGTTAGTGTAAAAAAACAGATCAGATCCTTGTTTTTGGATTTATCTCATAATTTAACAAATATGTCTATGTTCAAAATTACAGCCTGGAAAAAATGTGTCCTTTCAACCAAAGTGAGCTTGCAACCTCTGGTTTGAAAAGTTTGGCTCTGGCAAGTAAGAGATTGAGAAGTATTAACAAGACAAGACCCTGGAGAGTCAGAAGTTGGTAATGAATATTGGTCACTGCTAGACTGGCCCGGATTTGAACTGGTGACCTAGAGCTCAACACCATGTCCCTACGCTGTGTTACTTTACTATACTGGGGCTATGATGATACTACTTTGCACTATTGTAGTACCATTCCTCCAAGGATATAAAGCAATTTATGTTAAATAAACACCACAATACTACTTTGAGGTAAAGGAGCATTATTATCTCCAGTTTATAGATGGGCAGACTAAGAGACAGAACTAAGGGTACATCTACCCAGTGAGCGGTTGTAAATCTCAGAGCCCAGACCAACAGACTTGGGATCACGCTATGCCACTAAAAATAGCTGCGTAAATGTTTGGGCTGGAGGTTGGGGTCTGAAGCTTAAGGAGGAGCTTCAAAGCCCGAACTCCAGCCCAAGCCACATTATGCCTACAGAACTATTTTAAGTGCCATAGCCCAAACCCGAGTCTGTCAACCTGGCCTGTGAGACTCCCTGTATAGATGAACCTTAAAAGATGAAAGGATTGTCTTAATGAAGAAATTGACCAGAATAACTCTTCTGTAATAGCTCCCTGTCTGGACATTCTATTCTGGAATAAAAATCACCATCTTGTGAAATAATTAGTGTGATTTATGTATAGCTTATTCTGCAATAGCTATTTCCGTACTGAGAAGCCCTAAATGGCTAGAGAGTCAGCAGTAGAGCTGGGATTAGAACTCAGATGTCCTGGCTCTTTTCCCCCAGGCCTGATGCATGGCCTCCCATTAAGTGTATGATTGGGAATGTGATTTTTATTTAGCTATTTTTTGTCTCCCCTCTCAGTTTTATTTTTACTTGGGCGTTTTGCCTTTTCATTGTTTACATTTACATTTATGTTTTCACTTACTGAACATCTTTTGGAAGTAGCCAGAGATTTTCAGCCTTGGCCACTCATGTTGTACAAAGAGGTATAATGTATGTGAAAATACAGCCCTTAACATTATTTCAGAGGCCTTGGTTTGTGAAAGAGAGTTTTCAAAGACAAAGCTAAGATGGTATTCCCTATGTTCATCAGCTTTCAGAAGAGCAATTATAAGCAATAATTATATTTTTAATAAGAGCAATACGAAAAATCTTAATACACCTGACTGACTTTGAATAAATATTTTCTTGAGGGTTTACCATTTTCAATAGTGTTCATGCTTCAAGTACTTAAAGGATTAATTAGGCAAACAGATGCAGGAAAATCTTAGTGACCGAACTACCACACTTTTCCAGGTTTTTTGGAAGAACGCGTAGTTGTCCTTTCATATTGATCTGTAAATCATGAAGACTTAGTGGAAGTGATTGCTTTTAAGCGTTATAGCGAATCTCAGTGGCCCCTGACTTTTCATTAGATGCCTCACATGTGCTGTATTCTCAATGGCTGCTTTGCCCAAGGGAAAAGATGCTTTTTATTTAGCACACTTTAAGTAGAAAGCAGACATGTACACATGCTTCAGTGTCAAGATCATCTTCTAGAGTCTTGGTTATACGCATCTCCAAGATGGAAGGAAAAGCTCAAGAACATTCTCTCAATATTGATCAATCCCACCAAAAACTTTGAACCAGCACACGCACTGGCATTAACAATAACTATAGAAAGAGTGCGTTTCCGTGAGTAGCTTTCTGCAGTACCTTTATGGGTACAACTGCCACAGTGCCCGTGATGGAATTATCTTTAGGGATCAAATCCTATCATACATTAGCACTGAACCACTAAACTTGGAAAGGTGTCAAAAAGATGTGGAAGCTAGTCACAAAAGTAAGATGGTTAAAATCCTTACACTCATCGTGGAGGCTACTTCAGCATACTATAGCAGAGGCACATCAGGTAGACATATCGCTAAACAAAAAGAGACATGAAATTCATGGGAGATGGCACAAATAAGAAAGAAATCCAATGGCAGTGATAAAATTTACTAGATGACATAATGGATTTTCTGGACACTGCCTTCCACAAAGCTCCTTTACACCTGTGTAATATAGGTATTAATCTTCAGAAAGTACTGCATAAGCTTAGTACAGTCTCCTTAATAGCCCTTGATAAAATAAATTAATTGATTAATTTTAAAAAACTCTCCATAGTTACATGTGACCCTTAGGAATCCCTGGTAATAGCCACAATAGTTGAAGTGTCCCAGGACTTGCAAAAGTAGAAAGAATGACCAAACACCTGATTAAACAGAAGCCAGAGCAGCACTGATTGACCCAGAGAGCATGACAATACAATTTTGCATCAAAGTGTTTGTGGTTATCATTGACAAGATCATCACTGAGCATCATTACCAGGAAGCTTCTGAAAGTTCCTGTATTTGCTTTGAATGTCTGCATGATATTCACTGCTCAGCTAATGGCACTTGCATCTGAACTGCTGCTGCCAATGTTCAATCTAAGTGCCCAAATCTGCCATCTTTATTGGGGCTGCAAATGGCCACATTTTGAGCAATGGGATTTCTGTTGGATTAAGGAATTACTCAATGTAAGGAAGGTATAATCTGATTGCAAGCATCCAAGCCTGAACAAGAGAGTACATTGATGAGTTTAAGTACTTCAGCTTTGGTTACTAATTACATAGGTTCTTGTTCCAAGCTAGACATTATCAAATGCAGACTGAGATCAACCATACTGGGACAGAATGAACACAGCCATTTGGTTTAGTAGGATTATTAAAGTCATCAGGCCTGGTTCTTCTCTTGCTCACTTCACTGGAACTATACTGACTTCAGTAAAGCTACTTTTGATTTTGAGTGAGTGTGCGTGGGTATATATAAAAGAATAAGATCTGCTGAAAATATCATTACACATGTGTTACACACACACAATTGTATGTTTCCTAGTTTTTTAATGACACCTTTCACCATGGTATCTAATTGCTGGTATTAAACGTATGAAGTGTTCAAAATTATGCTCACATTTCAAAGGGGTTAAGAACACCGTGACAGCACAAGTTGCTCTGCTAATGTGTTGTGTTTCTCTTTCTTAGGAAAAATAACAAGCAGTCTCTTGGCAAAGAGTCGTGTGCAGCTGGGGCTGAAGACTGACAAAAAACGTGACAGATACAAGTTGCTAATTTTTATTTTAAATGAGCGCAGATTTGTCCACCAACATTAGATAAATGCATAGGCACTTAGGCCCTGATCCTGAGCCTATTGAAGTCAACATAAGGGCTCCAATTGATTTCAGTGATCTTTAGATTAAGCCTGTTAAAGCCTGACCCTACAAGAAGCTCTGCTCCCAGTGCCTTTGCAGGGCCAAATCACTACTTGTCAATGTCTCTCAGGCATTAAAAGGTGTCAGTGAAACAAGAGCTGACTGTGTGTTCGTATATGCACATTGCTGTGCGCTCCCCACTGTCCCTCCCCTTTAGAATGTAACACTTAATTGCTTTTGTTTCACTGGGGTTTGGGTTGTCAGCATGCACACACCATACAACCGCCAATGAGAGCAATCAGGGGTGAGGGGGAAGTTTCAATCAACATGTATTGCACGTTCATGGGCAAAGCCTGAATTAAAAATAATACAGGTCAGTGAGTACAGCTACCCACACACATTTTCCCTAAGACTCTTCATTCACCATTTAAGTACAGGATTTTCAGGGGTGCTGTGTGTGTTGGGGTCTGTAAGAAGATGCCATGTAGCATAAATACGATAATATTACAGTACTTTTCCTATCCAAGTGCTGTTTAATGAATACGTAAATATAGGAGCTTAAAATAATCCTAAATTGGTAGAAAATAAGTTACTACTGCTGCTGCCTTGGGCTTCCAAGTAATTTTTATTATATCTTTTCTAGTAGTTTTAGTTTGTACATTTGACATGTCTCTGCTCGGACTGCTTGCCCCTACGCAGAAAGCATTACAACTGGGAGACTGAGGTTTTTAAATACATACACAACTGAGACTTATGCACCACACTTTTTCTGCAAAAATAACTAGTGAATCCTGCAGAAATAGGCCAAATATTTCAATGTGAAATGGACCCTTAAAATGGAAGTCTTGGCCAGACTGGTGGAGTGTTAGAAATGGAACCTGTGTCAAGTGCAATAGCTACTGGCTCATTGAGCTGTCACTCTGAATCCTATCGATTCTTATAACCTGAGGAAGAAAAGAAAAGAAAAGCAAAGCAAAGCAAAGCAAAGCAAAACACTCAGCATGCACCGAAAACACCCAACTTGCTGTTACTGTGCAATGACACAGAAGGGCTAATGCAGCTGATTTTGTAGGTTTTTTTTAACTGCCTCACATCACCATTGGTAATCTTTCAGAGAGATGTCAGAATCTCCCCTGCAGGACTCCTCTGTCAGGCTCCACTCTCAATTCTCCATAGTTACGAATCAGCACTTGACCAATTCTTTCCGCTAGTATCATCCAATGCTTTAAAACTGCAGCCCCATTGCATCCTACCACGGGGACTGAGGCATGTTAGTGATGCTAATGATTTTGTTTCAAATGGACCAGCGTCTAACATTTATTAATAAATAAGAAGAACGCAGCTCTTATGAAATTTCAAATCATTGCCAAAATGCAACAAAGCTCGTGAGGCTGGCTGTGCGTAATATTTCAAATGGTTGAAGGCTGTCAGCTAGCTTCATTTTTCCAGTAGGTTGTGTGTGCCCTCTTTAGGATTTTTGGTGAAACATATAAAGATGCTACCAGTGAGAATTAGCATCACCTATATACTTAGGCTGTGTCTACGCTACAGACCTTAAAGCAGCACAGCTATACTGCTGCAGCTGCTCGGCTATACGGTCTCCCGTGTAGCTGCTCTATACCAAGGGGAGAGAGCTCTCCCGTCGGCATAATTAAACCACCCATCAATGAGCAGCAGTAGCCATGTTGGTGGGAGAGCGTCTCCCACTGACATAGCACTGTCCACGTCGGCATGTCTGTCAGTCAGGGCCGCCGCTAGGCGCCAGCTAAGCAAGCTGGTGCCTGGGGCGGTGCTGCTGAATGGGTGGCACTCCGGCTGTTCTTGGGGTAGCACTCCGGCAGTATCCCCGGCGGCAGCCCCTCTCCGTTGTTTCCCGCGGCGGCAATTCGGCCGCAGCTCCCTCCTGTTCTCTATGGCGGCGGCGTATTCAGCAGGTTTGGGGGGTTTTTGGGTGGGTTTTTTTTTTTTTTTTGCTGCTTGGGGAGGCAAAAAATGTAGAGCCAGGCCTGCTGTCAGTGAAACTTATGTCGGTCAGGGGGATGTTTATTTCACATTCCTGACTGACAAAAGTTTCACCGACAAAAGTACTAGTGTAGACATAGCTTTAGTAATGTACTCATCTCACAAACCACTGTATGGGCTCAATTCTGCTCCTGTTACAGTCAAAGGCAAAGCTCCCATCCCATGCAACAGGAGCAGGATCAGATCCTAAACAAAAAATGCATTTTCTGAACTTAAAATTCATCTGTCCAAATAAGGAAGCAGAGCCTTGCTGACTGAAAAGATACCCACAGAAAAACTGCACCTTTGTAGTTGGAACTGAAACCCGTGGCAAAGAACTTATAACGTACACTCACCAGTGGGTGACACTAACTTAACTGGTTGGGGCAGGGGCAGAATGAGGCCTGGTCTCCACCTTCTTAGACTAGGCACTAACCCAGAGCACCCCTCGCACTTTCCTTGAGTTCAAGGATTAGGATTGTGCTAGAGCCCTTCGCAGGGAAGCCAGGGATGCTTGTTTCCTGTTCCCGTCTTCTTGCACTGGTGGGAGGCTGAACTTAGCCAGCATGGATCATAGTTACACAGAGGTCTCGGTGTGGTTAGTGTCATGTACTTCTTGTTTAGAGTTGGATGCCTGGCTGCTACTAGCTGGTCAGGCTTCTGTATCAGATATACATGGATTACAAAGCTTCCTTCTCAGAGATACACTTCAGATGTGTTCACCATAAGGTCTTTTAATGCTCTGAAAGGTTTGGCTAAGTTTAGCTTACATACAGCATTTGACACCCAGCGCCACCTTGTGATTGAACTGTATAATAGAGTTTAGCACTCCATTAGTTAGTTTTACTCTTCAGACACACGGGTATTTAGTATAATGTACAAAGCTTGTTGTTTTTCTATAAGGTCAGCAGTCCAGAAAAACATTTACAGTCTGTCCAGACATCAAAGACGTCTGTTTAGATACACTACTGTAAGTGCCAAATAACCTGAAAATAATTTATGTGCAGTGCTGTTAAAATAAGACCTTCTTTCACCCCACCGTAGGGACTTATTGCACTACAAAATGCTTTCATATTTCCTTTTCCACATAAAAGGCTGGACGGATAAGATTGGATTACTCAGACCATACCTTGTAGCTTTTGGGTCCCAAATAACGATGTCAGCATCAGAACCCACAGCAATTCTTCCCTTCCTCGGGTAAAGGTTAAAGATCTTAGCTGCATTTGTGCTGGTAACAGCTACAAATCTGTTTTCATCCATTTTACCACTGTGCTGCAAAACAGTACATGGAAGCAAAAACACTAATTTTGTCCGGAAGGAAGGAAATAAATTCCTGTAATCAAAACCACATGGCTGAGTGGTGTAGAGGTCTCAGCTAACAACACACCAATCTTTTCAATAACTATCTGTGCTGTATTGATGAGTTTAAATTAAACACGAATATCATGACATTGACACACACATTGTAATGTACATTAGCTGAGTTTGATACAATAATTTTCTTTTAACTTTCCAAAAGAGTAATGGATCTGATCTCAAAGCCAACCACTCAGAGTCTGCACCCCTGAACCACCTTTCCCCCACCCCAACCCCCTGCCCCAGCCCTGATCCCCCTCCCACCCTCTGAATCCCTCAGTCTCAACCCAGAGCACCCTCCTACACCCCAAACCCCTCATCCTCAGCCCCACCCCAGAGCCTGCACCCCCAGCCGGAGCCCTCATCCACCACCGCCCCCCACCTCCCCTGCCCCAGCCTGGAGCCCCTCCCACACCCTGAACTGCTCATTTCTAGCCCCACACCAGAACCCATACCCCCCTCCAGCCAGAGCCCTCACCCCCTCGCGCATCCCAATTTCGTGAACATTCATGGCCCACCATACAATTTCCATACCCAGATGTGGCCCTCGGGCCAAAAAGTTTGCCCACCCCTGGTATAGAATGGTGGGGAGAGAAATGAAAGGAAAGAAATTGTGACAGCCTTAATTGCACTGGTGCTCTGGAAGGAGAAAAGTTTTAGCTATAAAAAATCAGCATACCATTCTACAAGTATGAAAAGAGAGAGCTGTCATGACTAAGTCCCATTTGGTGATCTTTCCTGAAAAGTTACTTTGACCACACTGTTACACTTTCAAAAGCAGCAAATGGTAGGTGTGTTTCATGACTCACTTGCATAGTAAATCTGGAGGCAAATTCTGTCCTGATTTACGCCCTTGGGAATCCCCCTGACGTTACACAGAGTGTAAATCAGGGCAGAATACCACCCAGAGTGTATAAGATGTATATTTGCTTTGCATCCCAAGTCCAGGATAACAAAATAGATCATACTCAATAGAGAGGGGGGTGGGCATTTCTTAAGTGATAAATTAATATATTTTGAATGTACATTACCAGCATGAAATTCAGATTCACCAGGTAAAAGGAGTTCAATTCAAATTCAATTAAACCAGTGTTCTCTAGAGCCTTTAATAGTACTGAATTGGTCAGAGTGTTCTACATTCCAGTGCCAACTCACTCAGCGTGTGGAAGATAATCAACACTTCTGAAAGCCAGGTCACTTATTTAGATTTCTAGCTTTACCCATAAATGTTTGAAAAATGTGACTGCTAGCTTTCAGCTTCTGTTTTTGGTTATAGTCCAAAGGGCCTGATCCTGAGAGGTGCTGAGCACCTCCTTTGAGGGCACTGGATCCTGGAGTCAATGGGAATTGAAAATGCATTACCAAAAATTGCATTTGGGTCCTTGCCACTTCATCTAACCAGGTGCCGTAATAGCTACTCTAAGGGATCTGGGAAGCTAGTATTTTTAAGAAGTTATTTTAGCTTTTGTTGGGGGTACAGGGTGGATTTTTCTGCTCCAACATCAGCTTAATCATGAGGAAAAAATACTCACCACTCCTTTTTCCCATATGACAGACATCCTGTCCTCTACACCATTCACCCCATTAGGGATCTTGGTGAAATCATCCCTCCCCAGGGCTTTCTGGCAGATGTCAAAAGTGCAGTTGTCAGTTCCTGTCACAGTTAGGTCATCACTATAAAGAAACAAGATATGCCATGAAGTGAAGTATGCCATCACACTCCTATGGACATGAGAGCTTATGGGAAGGCTGGCCATGCCCAGCTATCCCTCCTGAAAAGAGCAGCTAACCCTGCCAATCTGAGTTCAGTTCCTTGCCCCCATGAAGAGTAACTTCTTCCAAGTAGAGACATCCAGCCCTCCTCTGCAATGCAGTTCTCTCCTACCATACCCACATCCAACTTTTCTATGCTTTGTTTTAGATATTTCAAAGGCCTTCTGTGCGCAGGTAGCATCCCCACTTTGCCTCAACCAAAGGGACTGGTTCTGCTCTCATGCTAATTTTACACCAGTGTTATTGAAGTTCAATGGTGTTACTCTTCATATGCACCAGTGTCAATGAGAAGAGAATCAGGCCCCACATCTTGGGCAGATGACTAGGGAGGAGTATAAAAATATTGCTCGAGCATGCAGGAACATAATCAGGAAGGCTAAAGCACAACTGGAGTTATAGCTAGCAAAGGATATGAAGGGTAACAAGAAGCATTTCTACAGGTATGTTAGCAACAAGAAGGTGGTCAGGGAAAGTGTGGGACCCTTACTGAATGGGGGAGGAAACCAAGTGACAGATGATGTGGAAAAAGCTGAAGTACTCAGTGCTTTTTTTGCCTTGCTCTTCACAGACAAGGTCAGCTCCCAGACTGCTGCACTGGGCAGCACAGTTTGGGGAGGAGGTGAGCAGCCCTCAGTGGTGAAAGAACAGGTTAAGGACTATTTAGAAAAGCTGGACATACACAAGTCCATGGGGTCAGATGCAGTGTATCCAAGGGTGCTGAGGGAGTTGGCTGATGTGATTGCAGAGCCATTGGCCATTAACTCTGAAAACTCGTGGCAATCGGGGGAGGTCCTGGACAATTGGAAAAAGGCAAATATAGTGCCCAGTCAGCCTCACCTCAGTCCCTGGAAAAATCATGTAGCAGGTCTTCAAGGAATCCATTTTGAAGCACTTGGAGGAGAGGAAGGTGATCAGGAACAGTCAACATGGATTCACCAAGGGCAAGTCATGCCTGACCAACCTGATTGCCTTCTATGATGAGAAAACTGGCTCTGTGGCTATGGGGAAAGCAGGGGACATGATATACCTTGACTTTAACAAAGCTTTTGATATGGTCTCCCACAGTATTCTTGCCAGCAAGTTAAAGAAGTATGGATTAGATGAATGGACTATGAGGTGGCTAGAAAGCTGGCTAGATTGTTGGGCTCAACGGGTAGTGATCAACGGCTCGATGTCTAGTTGGCACCCAGTATCAGGTGGAGTGCCCCAGGGGTCGGTCCTGGGGCTGGTTTTGTTCAACATCTTTATTAATGATCTGGATGATGGAATGGATTGCACCCTCAGCAAGTTCACAGATGACACTAAGCTGGGGGGAGAGGTAGATACGCTGGAGGGTAGGGATAGGATACAGAGGGACCTAGACAAATTAGAGAATTGGGCCAAAAGAAATCTGATGAGGTTCAACAAGGACAAGTGCAGAGTCCTGAACTTAGAATGGAAGAATCCCATGCACTGCTATAGGCTGGGGACCGACTGGCTAAGCGGCAGTTCAGCAGGAAAGGACCTGGGGATTACAGTGGATGAAAAGCTGGATATGAGTCAACAGTGTGCCCTTGTTGCCAAGAAGGCTAATGGCATATTGGCCTGCATTAGCAGGAACATTGCCAGCAGATCGAGGAAAGTAATTATTCCCCTCTATTTGGCACCGGTGAGGCCACACACCTGGAGTATTGTGTCCAGTTTTGGGCCCCCCACTACAGAAAAGATGTGGATAAATTGGAGAGAGGGCAACGAAAATGATTAGGGGTCTGTGACACATGACTTATGAGGAGAGGCTGAGGGAACTGGGCTTGTTTAGTCTGCAGAAGAGAAGAGTGAGGGGGGGGGATTTGATAACAGCCTTCAACTATCTGAAGTGGGGGTTCCAAAGCAGATGGAGCTAGGCTGTTCTCTGTGGTAGCAGATGACAGAACAAGGAGCAATGGTCTCAAGTTGCAGTGGGGGAGGTCTAGGTTGGATATTAGGAAACACTATTTCACTAGGAGGGTGGTGAAGCACTGGAATGGATTACCTAGGGAGGTGGTGGAATCTCCATCTTTTGAGGTTTTTAAGGCCCATCTTGACAAAGCCCTGCTGGGATGATTTAGTTGGGTCTGGTCCTTCTTTGAGCAGGGGATTGGACTAGATGACCTCCTGAGGTCTCTTCCAATCCTAATCTTCTATGAGTCTATGATCTGCAAATACTGCAGAATGACAAATTAATTCCCTTCTTGAGGTTTGACTTACTTTGTTGTTTCAGTCACCAATAAAGTCTCAGCTTAAGCATTCTCCTCATGGCTGGTTTCCTAAGGGTTCCTGCGGGACGCCCCAGTCTCTGCTCCTACTTCCTTCTGAATACAGGGTCATGCCACTGGAGTGAACAAGCCCTAACTGGCACAATGAGTCAGCAGAATTTACTCAGCAGTTTGATGCAGGGTTCAAACTCCTGCTAACCAAAAGGGTCAGCTAAGGAGCCGGGCATCCCAAGGTGTGGTTACAGATCCTGCCACTGATTACACCTGCCAATGTGCAGCCTTGCTGCCCCATTACTGCTTTGCTAGCAACTTTATTTATTTATTTGAATACAGAAGTGCTGTAGCTGTGACCTGTTAATAAATCATCTAATAGGTCCCATACACAATACAGCAGGACTTGTCACTGCTTTTTAGTCTGCTTACTTGGCTAGTAAATTCATGAGGAAATCAGGTGTTGAAGGGTCTGGCCTCAGTGGAGGTCCCATGACATGTCCTGCGGCGTGATGCCATTCTTTATGCCAGTAGTGAGTGCCATCTGTACCAAGACTAGCAGCAATAGGTTCCCCATATACTACCTTCCCTGAAAAACAAACATGACAAGTTAATATAATCATTAAAAAGCATTTAAGGCAACAAATACTGTAAAATGCTGGTTTTGTAGTTTCTTTTCCCTGCTCTTCCTGAAGATGGTGGATTTAAGTTTGAAAAAACATGTATAGTCTCTGTCATCTTAAACTAGACACTTAGGTACAGTAGAATACAACATGTAAACTGCAATACAGTGTCTCCATTGTGAATATATTATTGATCATCCTCTGCTATGTTTTCTTATGTTGCTTGGGAAAGCTTTTTCAATTATATTTCTGTCAGATATACTAGTATTGATTTTTTTGTATGGTTTGCTTCGTGTGTAGAAGACATTTCAAAAGGAACATAGTCCCAGGTTATATTAAATTATATCAGAGGTCTGGAAGTTTCCTCATAGTGGGATAAATAAATTTGGAATGATTGTTCTTCTTGGTATTATAAAATGTGTCAATTATGTGGTGGTATAGGTGTATAGAGAGAGACCTTCCAAGTTTACATTTTTAACTGTCTGAACTACAATTGTGTAACAGGCAATCAAGAGAACAAAACTAACTTGGAGTAATTTTGGAGAGATGTTGAGCTAAAAAAGCTAAGAAAACTTCTGGTCAACCACAGGGACATTTTTAATCACTGTAACTTTAAAAGTCTTTTAACAAAAAAACAAAAAAGCCTCACAGGAAAATTCTACCCAGATGTATCATATGAAATTTCAGGGGGAATGTTTCTTTCTGGGGAAGGTGGCAATGTTGGAGCTTGAAAATAAAATTGTTATTAAAAGCTGCTAGCATCAACCATGATTACAGAGTGGCTAATTCACCACACAATCAATGGAAAAAATAAAATAACAAGCATTATCAAAAACTTAAATGAGATCAGATAATTTTAGATGACTTTCACTGGTATTAGCACTGCACATTCACTGATAAGGCCCTAGTTCTGGTGAACCTCTATAACAGAATATTGAAATCAAAGATGCAATATATCTGGAGTCAGTAACATTACAGCTGGTTAACTGAAATCAGGCTGCCCAAAATATCATAATGGTTCCACGTGCGACTGGCTATGTTCCCTGGTGCGTGAGAATTTCATTCTGCTCTGCAGCTGCCCTACAGCCTGTTTAAAGGAATAAACAGTAATACTTGTTATGTATCTATATACAGCACTTTAAAAGCATAAACTAAATAATCCTCACCATACCCTTATGAAGGAGATAAGTATGTTTTACTAACCCTATTTTGCAAATGGGGTAAATAAGGCAAAAATGGCTAAGCAACTCTCCCAAGATCACTGAAGGTTTCAGCGTCAGAGCCAGGATTGAACTCAGTAGTTGCTGGCACAATACTATACTTGCCCTTTTTGTGGGGTGACTGGTATCCCACTGCTGGGGAATTAATGAACCTTCATGGGTGCACCTACAAAGCTTAATGGAAACTTAATGAACTATAACTGTATCTCTCGTGGAGAGCTATCTGCATGCTTTGATATGAGCCATAGTAAAACAGGACTGCAAGGTTTGAACACATGAGGTTTCTAAACACTGGTCCTCTGTTTGGTTCAGTATTTTATTTGTCCATGAGAATGCCACAGCACATCTACACCTGACAGCTAGACTGAAGGATGTAGGATTTGTTTATTAGCAGGCTTGTATGCAGTGACACTTTGCAGGATTATCATGATTTTTAACCATCACACTTGGCATGGAAAGTGCAGGGAAGGAAGGAAGGAAGGAAGGATGGTCCAGTGGTTAGGGCACTGGGCTTGGGCTCGGGCTCAGGGGACTCTAGTCCAGTTCTCTACTTTACCACAGATTTCCTGTGTCATCTCGGGGAAAAGCACTCACTCGCTCTGTGCCTTGAAGATTCCCATCTGCAAAACGGGGATAATAGCACTGTCCTGTCTCAGAGCGGGAGTGGGAGAAGAAATACAATAAAGGTTGTGAGGTGCTCAGATACTGCCGACTATAAGGAGAACTGGTCAGGAATTTTTGGATGTAATCATTTTTCAATAAAAAAAATCACAATGTGTCAAAACCAAAACTCTTGTGGGGAAAGGTTTTTCAGGTACAGGATGGAAATTCTGCTCAAAGCCAGAGAGAAGACATTGGATAGCCCAGGGGTTTGGGCACAGACCTGGGATGTGGGGGACTCAGGTTCAGAACAGGGCACTTGAACTCCAGACTCCCATGTCCCACATGAGTCTCCTAACCACCAGCCTATAACTTTCTTTTCTCTCGTCCCACCTCTCCTCCCTCTGTGATGCAGAATGGGGAAAAAATTGTGGGACAGAAAAGCCCAGCTCTAATCATAAGTATGTGTTCTGTACAAGTATATGTACTATCACAGAAGTATGAGAGATACATACATTCATGCTGTGATGGCTGTCAAAGAGCTTGGACCCATATTGGTGAAGGTATGCCACAGAGTAAATTGATGTATTACTACAAACAGGGTACAGTATCCACACAGACAATTGCATGGCTCAATTTCTATCATTTTTCTCTGGGCCACAAGATTGTTGGGAAAGTTCCCATCTCAAGGGCATGAGTTATTATCCAGCGTTGACAGCATTGTGCAGTATGAGGGAAGGATGTTGCACTGTGACAAGTGCTACCCCAATTTAAGGTCTCCTCTCAAAGGCAACCTCTGCCTGTAGCTCTCCCAGTGGAAATTAAATGTCCACTCACACCTTCTGAAAGGGATAAGGCATAGCCTCATCAACAAGCTAGATCTCAATAGCCAGATTCTGATGTCTGTGGGACTGTTTTATTTGCACAGAGAGTTATTGCATTACCGGTGTGTAATTCATTTATTTGTGAAAGCCTGTGAGATGACAATGAAAGGCACTAAAAGCATCCCATTCGTTCAATTTCAAGCTAATCTCGTGCCACCTGTTCAAGAGGGGCTCAAGTTTTCAGACATGCAAGCAGTGCCTTTCTTTGCTGATTGGCATTCTTTTAACTTACATTCTCAGCAGATGTTGTACCATTATTCCTCAATTGCTCTGTGAGGATTAGGTATACAAAAATGCTCTATGACCATTTTTAAGCTTTGATCAATCCCAATATGCCTGCAACTATTAATTAGTGTATGGCTTCTAGTGCTGCTCTAATTTTGTTCTCCAGTTACACCCGTTACCAGATGGTTTCAGCATCTCTCAGGACACAGATATTAGTAATCTTCTCCCATTGGCTCAATTTGCTTCGCTTTGTCACATACTGGTGAATGTTATTTTTCTCGTTATTGCTTCGTCTTTGGCTTGTGGAGTTTTAAGCTTCCAGTCCCATTTATCTAATTGTATTATGGAGTTAGGCAAAGAGTGGAGGAGAAAGACACAAAGAGAAGAAGATCATAGAATCATAGTATATCAGGGTTGGAAGGGACCTCAGGAGGTCATCTAGTCCAACCCCCTGCTCAAAGCAGGACCAATTCCCAATTAAATCATCCCAGCCAGGGCTTTGTCAAGCCTGACCTTAAAAACTTCTAAGGAAGGAGATTCTACCACCTCCCTAGGTAACGCATTCCAATGTTTCACCACCCTCCTAGTGAAAAAGTTTCTCCTAATATCCAACTTAAACCTCCCCCACTGCAACTTGAGACCATTACTCCTTGTCCTGTCCTCTTCTACCACTGAGAATAGTCTAGAACCATCCTCTCTGTAACCACCTCTCAGGTAGTTGAAAGCAGCTATCAAATCCCCCCTCATTCTTCTCTTCTGCAGACTAAACAATCCCAGTTCCCTCAGCCTCTCCTCATAAGTCATGTGTTCCAGACCCCTAATCATTTTTGTTGCCCTTCGCTGGACTCTTTCCAATTTATCCACATCCTTCTTGTAGTGCGAGGCCCAAAACTGGACACAGTTTTGGACACAGAGGCCTCCAGATGAGGCCTCACCAATGTCGAATAGAGGGGAACGATCATGTCCCTCGATCTGCTCGCTATGCCCCTACTTATACATCCCAAAATGCCATTGGCCTTCTTGGCAACAAGGGCACACTGCTGACTCATATCCAGCTTCTCGTCCACTGTCACCCCTAGGTCCTTTTCCGCAGAACTGCTGCCTAGCCATTCGGTCCCTAGTCTGTAGCTGTGCATTGGGTTCTTCCGTCCTAAGTGCAGGACCCTGCACTTATCCTTATTGAACCTCATCAGATTTCTTTTGGCCCAATCCTCCAATTTGTCTAGGTCCCTCTGTATCCTATCTCTGCCCTCCAGCATATCTACCACTCCTCCTAGTTTAGTATCATCCGCAAATTTGCTGAAAGTGCAATCCACACCATCCTCCAGATCATTTATGAAGATATTGAACAAAACTGGCCCCAGGACCAATCCCTGGGGCACTCCACTTGACACCGGCTGCCAACTAGACATGGAGCCATTGATCACTACCCCTTGAACCCGACAATCTAGCCAACTTTCTACCTACCTTATAGTGCATTCATCCAGCCCATACTTCTTTAACTTGCTGACAAGAATACTGTGGGAGACCGTGTCAAAAGCTTTGCTAAAGTCAAGAAACAATACATCCACTGCTTTCCCTTCATCCACAGAACCAGTAATCTCATCATAGAAGGCGATTAGATTAGTCAGGCATGACCTTCCCTTGGTGAATCCATGCTGACTGTTCCTGATCACTTTCCTCTCATGTAAGTGCTTCAGGATTGATTCTTTGAGGACCTGCTCCATGATTTTTCTGGGGATTGAGGTGAGGCTGACTGGCCTGTAGTTCCCAGGATCCTCCTTCTTCCCTTTTTTAAAGATTGGCACTACATTAGCCTTTTTCCAGTCATCTGGGACTTCCCCCGTTCGCAACGAGTTTTCAAAGATAATGGTTAATGGCTCTGCAATCACAGCCGCCAATTCCTTTAGCACTCTCGGATGCAACTCGTCCGGCCCCATGGACTTGTGCACGTCCAGCTTTTCTAAATAGTCCCTAACCACCTCTTTCTCCACAGAGGGCTGGCCATCTACTCCCCATGTTGTGATGCCCAGTGCA